GGAATTATAGGCATATGTCACCGCACCCAGCCTTGCAATGGTTATTTTTGCAGCTGCTCCTAACCTTCATCAACCACTGATAGTGCCTATAATTGCAAAGTTTCTTTCTCCTTATTCCTATCCCTCTTTGCTTTCCTTTCCTTCGCTTGCTAGTACCACACCACATGGTTCCTTTGTAAAATCTGGTGAGTTAATATATAAATAAATAATAAGCATATGTTTGTTTGGTATTGTATTTTCCTGTCACCTCTTTGGCATGATAAAGTAATGGCTACACGCATGGATGGACTTGGGCTAGAATGTCATAATTTGGCTTCTGACCTTACCATTCACTAACTAGTAAATTATCTCTCTGTGCTAATTTCCCTCACTTTTGGCATCAGTATTGTTATGGAGATTGAATAAATTGAGCATAAAATTCTTAGAACAATGTTTGGCATTTTGAAAGAGCTCTACAGGATTAGCCATGCCTGGGATTGTCCGATCTTTAAGACCCCTGTAGCATGGAAGCTCCTGGAGCTAGCAGCGCTTAGTGAGAATCTTAGTGCATGGCGTACCCTTGAGTCCACAGATAGCCCCTCTACTTCCAAAGTTCCCTTTGCTCACCCTGACCACCCGTCAGCTACTACAATAACTAGGGGACACATTTCTAAGGAAGACAGAAGATTCCCTAAGGGCAGTGACAGATTTATTCTACATAGCGGCAATAGATTTTGTCATATATTAACTTCCAGGAATCTTAACTAAGTTCACCCCAAGCCCATATTTCAGCAGACCACGTTTGGAAAGCTGTGGCAAAGCGAATGGTCCCCTTTGGAATCATCACATGCAGACAGAGGCTGGGTGTATCTGGGATATGCTGGAAGGGGGAAGCTCTACTGCCTTACATACGTGATAACTCGCCACGAATGTCATGTCACACTGCAGTGCTTGGTCAATATTCGTCATCTGTCTACAGCTCCTTGTTCTTTCTTGACTTCCCTGTTCTTACTCTGTTCCCTTCACACCCACTTGAACTTGCACTAATCTACTACAGTATTTGTTTGACAACACTCGGAACTCCTCTGGGACCTTTCCATCTGGAACAAATACCTATCAGAGTCTATCTAGAGATGTGAGGAGACTCCCCAGGCATAAGAGGGAAGAAGGCCATTGTCTTCCCTGTGGAATTCCTTGAGCAAACTGGTAAGTCAAGGTAAGCTGGAAGCAACAGGCATAGGTGTCCCCATAAATTAAGGGGACAGCAAGGTCAACTCTCTGGGGACTCCTTATTTGCTCAATATTGGCAGGAAAGGCCTAGAGAAAGGAGAAAGCCTGAAGAGTTTGGATTTGAGTGGATGGACTATTGAGCCCATCCCCATCTTACTAGCACACATTTATAATCTTCCCTCTTTAGCCTCCCAAGTAGCTGGGATTACAGGTGTGGGTGACTACACCCATTTCAGGCAGGCAGGGTGAGCTCTAGGGGAGGCTTCACAGACCCATGGAGGTGGGGTCCTTACAGTGCTGCTTCCCTTGGGCTTTGCCTCAAGGCAAGAATGTGCCCCTGCTGGCCCCCTTTCCTGAGGCAAAGAGCTGCTTCAGAGTCTACCTTTCCCATTGAGATCCCCAAGGGCTGTCTGTCTCCTTTGCTCGGGGCCCTGTCCCCAGCACTCAAAATTGAGCCTGGCCCTGGGGAGGCTGTCAAATATTTGTCACAAGAATTACCTGTTACTTAAAACTAGCCAAATGTCAGGACAAACAGTCCAACTTTACAGGGCAGTCACTAAGTCTAGGGAGCATTACTTCACAGCAGACTTTGCAAAAGATGAGTATCATGGAAATGGATTTATTTGGATTAATGACGGACACAGTAAATGCTTCCACAGTAAAATGCTGAAAGTGGGCGTAGTCACCCACACCTGTAATACCAGCTACTTGGGAGGCTGAGGAAGATTATAAATTCCAGGCCAGCCTGGGCAATTTAATGAGAGAACAGTTCAAAAACAAAATCTAGAAAGGGCTGGGAATGTAGCTCTCGGTGGAGCAGTTGCCTACCCTTCCTGAGGCACTAGATTTGAACAGCAGCTAGGCAGGGTGGTTTATATCTGTAATCCCAGCATTGGGAAGGTCGAGGGAGGACTGCCGTGAATTCAGGGCCAGGCTGGAATAAATAAGGGGTTCAAGGACACCCTGGACCACAAAAGCTTGTCTCAAACACCAATAAGGTAAGTGGGGAATGTAGGTTTTTCTTTTTCCTGTGCTGGGATCCAAACTCAGGGCCTTAAGTATGGTAAGCTTTCTAACCCAAGTCATACCTCTAACCTAGGTTGGCCTTGAGACCCAGTGATAACCACCCTGGAGTCAAAAGCTGCTGCTTTTGCAAACAAGTCACTAAATTACAAATTTTCAGCTGGGGTGAGTGGTGAAGAAGCCTACATGTCCCGCACCCTGCAGGCTGAGACAGGAAGAGGCTTGCCATGGTTTGAGGCCAGCCCGGACTGCTTAGCAAGATCCAATCTCAAAAGCTTTTTCAGTACCAGTAGAATTTTAAGCAGCACCACTATTGCTTTTCAGCTCAACAGAAAGTAACACATGACACAATTTACGTAAATATTTTCAAGGTTTTATTGCAAACCAGTACTGGCTTACCACACACAAAAAGTTGTGTGGTGGGGAGGAGGGGTTGTACATATTATAACCATGTTAATTACAATACATTAAAATGGTGGTTTACATTACAAATAAGCCTGTAAGTTTAAATATACTAGTGTTATATAACCCACTGTACAGACTTTCTTTATACAATACATACAGTTATCAGGAATGCAAAAAAAAAAAAAAACCACACACACATAAATAATGCCCATTTTACAGGTGACATTTTAAACAATGAAAACACCAATGGCTGTGACTGACTTCTGGGGCATTGGTCCATAAAAACCCTTTCTAAAAATAGAAATATTTGTAGCAGCAATGCTGTCTCTAAGCATCTGGATGCAAGTCATTGCAAGACCATTTCAATAAATTCTAGTTAATAACTATATCTTACAAAAACAAAAACGGTCTACACATAAATTTATCTTCCAAATATGGAAGAAACAAACAATGTCCCACATTGTAGTGTCCTGCAAGTGTCACATTGATGCTTATAACACCCATCTGTGGTCAGGCATACCAACACTCACACCACTGTTCACGCACTAAAGAAATCCACAAGGAAAAATAAAGAACTGAAACACTCTGCGATAGGAAAAGCTTTGGAGCTAACATGATCTCATCAGAAAAGGCACGTTTCAGAATATTTCTTATCACAGCCCCGACAACCCTGGGGAGGAGCCTTCGCAGACCAGCCTCTCCCTTCTACAGACACTATCATACCTGTCCGGGGCAGCACTCTAACGCTCAATTCAGAGATAGCACCAGGTTGGAAGGAAGGATAAAATGAAAACCCCACGAGCTCGCTGAGGGGATGTGCTCTTCGAAAAGCTTCCAGCAAACAGTGTGCAACAGGGCTGCCAAGCTTCCAGAGATGTGCAAATTCTCTTTAGGATGTCCTGTCAGCTGGCAGCTCCACCAAAAGGCTCACTAAAACACTCACAGACACACATAGAACCCTTCACAACCACGCTAAAACAGCTCAGAGGAAAGAGTCCATGGGAGGTGCGTAGGAGAAGCCAAGGAACGCCTCCGCCGCCTCCTTCACGCTGGCTGTGATGAGGATGCTGTCGGGGGATCTGCCAATGGAGCTGGGGACAGGCTCCTCGGTGAACTCGGGATCGAAGTGCCGCAGGTCACTGGGTCCACTCTACAGGAGAAGAAAAAAGCATGCTCAGTGTCAAAAACGTTCATGGGCCTACCTCTGGCTTTCCATAGTAGAGCTCAACTCTTCAGGATGCTTTACAGAAACTCCCACAATGCTCTCTTTCAAGCACAGAGCCCCATGGGCCATGTACAACTTTAAATAAAGGAGCAGTGGCAAAATGCACTTTTCGCCTCTTGGTATTTCAAGAGAACATGCCTGAAACATTACGTGACATTTGTTGGGGCAAACTTCTACTCTCTCTCTTAGAAAATAATGGATCTATGGATCAAATACCTGCCAATGTGCTACTTCTAGAAGTTCTACCAACCCCCATCCCGGCTTCCAAAATGTACTTTAAGCCTCATTATATATTTCAGCGAGACAGATACTCACCACATTTGGGTTAAAAGGGGGAGTAATCTTCTTATTTATGAGATCATCCCAGTTAATTAGGGAGAAGAAGACGTGACTCTTAATCTCCATCTGTTGAGAAGAAACAGAGATGAATGTAGACAGGCAGAGACAGGGAGGGCAGAGAGGTCTGCTGTGCGTCCCTGGGGGCTGGTGCCCAGACAGAGCACTTACAAAGTCATCCTTGGCACCGAGCCGCTTGGTCCTGTCCTTCTGCAGGAGCCCCTCCAGGAGGTGCCTCGCGGAATTTGTGATATTTGGTTTCAACTGGAGGGGTTTGTTCAGGATGTTGTCATACATCTCAGCTGTGTTTCGGCTATAAAAAGGAGGCTGAAAGAAGAGGGGAAAGAAATCAATTCACGTCTCCATGGAAGTTTTATATGGCATATATTATCAACAGGGAAAAATACTGTGTCAATGCACAGTATTTAGCTGGACTGAGATGTCTGGTTTTTTTTTTTTTCATTGTTGTTGTTGTTTTATGCTTTTGCTGTTGATTTTTTTAATGTCTCTTTTGGTTACCTTTATGAGGAAGGGGTCAGCCTAGAGTAATAAACTAGTTTTCATTAACATATAGGTAAAAAATGAAATTGGAAGGAAAAAAATCCACTTGATAATTGCTCATATAAGAAAGTTGTCATAGCAGCCTGTGCTCAGACAACTCTTGTCTAGGAGGCCAGTGTTTCTCAGAAGCAAGGGCAGCGCCCAGCGTTCCCTGTGTGCTACTCACCAGGCCGTACAGCATCTCATACAGGACGGCTCCCAGGCACCACCAGTCCACAGTCCTGTCATAAGGTTGCTTATGAAGCACTTCAGGTGCAAGATACTGAAAGATACAGCAGGTAAAAAGAACTTAGAATGGACAAAGCCAGGTAAGCTCAAGGCCAAGCATGCACTCTGAAAGGCTTAAGATCTAGAGCTAAGATGGAAGGTACATTTCTTTAGATTTCAATAAAACCTCTCTACTTTTTGAAGCTGACTGGCTCCTTAGTGATACTGGTACTTAGGAAACAACTGGGCATCCCCATGTATCTTACTAGGGGATTTAAGAGACCATTTTAATGACATGGATCTTACCCAGGGTAGTTTTATTTAAAGCACTAGAATGCTCTTTGGTACGTCCCATGTTGCATCAAACAAGTTTAGATGAGCTGAACTGTACTACAAACTCTAAAGACTTTGCTCTTGACATTCAGAGTCTTACTGCATACTTGTCTCCCGGTGGGGTGAGACAGGCCTGGTAGCCGATAAAGTGCGCTTACCTCAGGTGTGCCACAGAAGGTGGACGTTGTGCCATTGTGTTCAATGTTCTCCTTGCAGAGCCCGAAGTCAGTGAGGACAATATGTCCTTGGGAGTCCAGCAAAATATTCTCTGGCTTTAAGTCTCTGTAGTGAAAAAAAAATTGTTGCATAGTTTATATTTTATAAGATGATCAGAAGATGTCCTCCATAAAGACCACTGCCCAAAGCATTAGAAGCATTTAAATGCACTGCAGTCATACAGTGAACTAAAAGAGTTCTTGTTCTACTAAACTGTATGGTTGGCTGGCTTCCCAGTGGCATAAGACAGCTCATGTGCTGGGACACCAGGTTTTAGGTGACCATGTTGCACATACATGCCAGTTACTCTAAAGGCTCCCAACACCGGGGCTGCGCTCCTCCCCCAGAAAGGCAGCTGCCTGAGCTCAGGGACCCACCTGTACACGATGTTCAGAGAGTGCAGGTAACCCAAGGCACTGGCTATTTCAGCAGCATAGAAACGAGCCCGTGGTTCTAGGAAGCAGCGCTCCCTCTGGAGGTGGTAGAACAACTGCAGAAGACAGGACAGTCAGTCTGGGCTGCCAAAGCACTGAATCCCTCCTGATATACACTGCCAAAGAGGACAATTGCAGGAAGCGGCTCTACATAATTCACTAGCCATTTGAATGCTGGCAAGTTAAAGGAAGTGGGAATTCTGGTTAACTTTTCCTCCCCCCAGTAGCTTAAATTTAAGTATCTAAGAGCAAACACGACAAAGCAGAGACCCCAAGGCTTGGCTTCTGCCTACACTGGCTCACCTCTCCACCATTAATGTAGTCTAGGACGAAGTACAGTTTGTCGGCAGTCTGGAAAGAGAAGTGAAGTCCCACCAAGAAAGGGTGTTTCACATTCTTCAGTAGAACGTTGCGTTCTGACATGATGTGCTTCTCCTAGGAAAAGGATAGGTACGATGCGGCGGTGAATTTCAACTTGCCACCAAAATCCCAAAGTGAAGACTCAGTCCACCTCTGACCCAAGCATGAGAAGCATCTCATACCTCTTTCTTTTTCAGGATTGCTTTCTTCTGTAAAACTTTGACAGCATAGAATGCTTCTTCTGCTTTGTGTCTTGCTAGAAGAACCTGAAAATTTCAAACAATTATTGTCTCATCCATATTCAATGAGAATGTCAAACAAATACACAAAAGAATATATTGAAAAGTCTTTGCACTTGAAAGTTACCTTTCCAAAACTGCCTTTCCCAATCACTTTTAAGAAGTGGAAGTCAGATGGTTTAGCATGAGGATTGGATGACGGACCAAGGTTGATTTGTTGAGAAGGGCTTGGCTAGAAAACAGAACATTCTCTATTAATTTCACTACTTCAAAGAAAGAAATCAATAACAATGTACAAAGACTACAGCTACATATGACCAAATAAGTCACCAAACACCAATAAACATCCAAAATTAATTTTTCATTATGGAAACTGCGCTTAAGTTTTATGAAGTATGCCTTTAAATAAACTCCACTGCCTCAATACTTCGTATGTCATTTGTTAGGTTGTGAACTAATGCATTCCTGCCTCAATACTAACTTCTGGCAATGCTATTGTAATCCACTAATGCATAAATGAATTCATTTATAATTTCCTCCACAGATGTATCGCAAATAGAGAATACTTACTGGAGGAGAAGGGTTGGCATTCATAAGCTCAGGCTCCTGAGGTTGGGAGATTTTCAAGATTGACTGAACTTCGGGGCTGCGGAGAATATAAGAACTTTAGAACTTCTAAATCGCCGCTAGAGGGCACAGTGAGCTTAAACAGTGGATTTTTGACCCAAGTGTTCCCAGAGTGAATTCTCAGCATTTAAATTGAAAACACTCAAATAAATCAACTAAGGAAAAATAATAGTTAAATGACAGCCCAGTTAAAACACACAATTCTGGGTTATTCCTGGAGAGGGTGTTGAATTAGGTTAACATTTAGAAGGCTTTTTTTTGCATTTCCAGGACAGGTACAACCCACAAATTCATTCTAATGTTTATTTATTAATTTCTTTGGGTTTTTGAGACAAGGTCTCACTGTGTATGCATGCACGCAATTCAGGCTAGCCTTGAGCTCACTCTGTAGCACAGGCTGGTCTCGAATTCGCAGCAATCCTTCGGTCTCAGCCTTCTAGGTGCTGGGGTTAGGGGCATGTGCCACCACGCCCCCACATTCTAATGTTTAAAATGGGGCAGATAAACTAGAATTTAAAAGAAGAGATTTCTATCTACCCCCGGGGGAAGTCGGGCTTCTCAATGAACCCTGAACTTACTGTTTGCATGCATAGGAATTATTGGCAATCTTCTGAATAAAATCGTTCAGGCCCATCCTCCTTTGCTTCATGAAAGCTGTGAATTAAAGATGAGAGACAAAAAGAAACGTTTAGATGGCTTCACAACATCCAACGCCACGCACGCTAAGGTGATGTGGGACCTTCCACTTCGCCGATTCTAGCCAAGCCTGTTTTCTGCTTTCCTGCACTCACCGATGAGGATCGCTACCATTCCCCTCATTCTGGAGTAAGTGACAGTGCCTCTAGCAGCCTCGGCTTTCACCGTCATCGCCAAGAAGAGAATAGGATCAGAGTACAAGTCCCGAGGCCGGCTCCCGCAGCACTGCGCGGGAGCCGCGAGGCGGTCGCATTTATAAGCCCTTGGCCGCCGCGTGGGGGGCGGGGCCTGCGTACAACGAGGAAGCGCGCGGAGCCCCGCCTCCTGCGCCCCGGGGCCGCGCGCTCCGCCGCCGGGCCGGCCGGGTGCCGGGCGGTTTGCTCCTCTGCGAGCCGGCTGGCCACGCCCGCCTCGCTCGGGACGGAGCGGGCGCGGGGAGAACGCCGGTGGAGGAGGCTGGGAGGGCTGGGCAGCCTCGGGTAATTTTCCATTTTTCCCCACTTTTTGGCGCCGTGCGGCGCCCCCTCGGCTTCGCGGACGCCCGCGCCCCCCACCGGCCCGGACCCGACCTCCCGGCTGGCCGCCGCCGCCCCGGAAGCCAGGCGCACGCCGGCGTGGGCTCCGACCGGCCCGAAGCGCCGGGTCCCGGCCACTCCCGGCCCCGGATCCCCCCGCCCGAGCCGGGTTCGAGCCCGGCGGGCCGGCGGGCGCGCGCTTACCCAGGCCGCTCAGCAGGAAGGACTCGCTCCTTTTCTGCGCCTCCGCCCGCTTCTTGTGGCGAGGCCGGAGCAGGGACTCGAGCCGGGCCCGGGCCAGCGCGCCCTGCGTCTCCCCCATGGACAGCGGACGGCGGGGCGCGCGGCGGGCGACAGCGACCGGCGAGCACTGACGTTGCCTTGAAGGGGCCGCCGTGACTCAGGCCGGGCAAGATTTCCTGCCCCGAGTCCCAAAACAAACAAATGGCCCTTTTGCACGGCCGAGTCGCTTCCGAAAACGCCTTTTTTGTGCTTTTGGCCAAAACCAAGCAAGGCTGAAGAATCCCAGAACTTGGAAGAGGAGGAAGGAAGGAAAGAAGGAAAGGGGGGGGAGGAAAGGAGGGAGGGAGGAAAGGAAGGGAGGGAGGGAGAAAAGAAGGAAGGAAAGGGGGGGGGGGGTCAGGAATGTGAAGGGGAGGGGGCGGAAATAAAATAAGTCGGCGCTAGAGGGGAAAAAGTACAATCTGCATTGCACTTTTTTTTCTGGACTAATCGGGAACATTCCGTCCGTTCTGCATGTCATTTTTTTCGCCTTGCATTTTTAATCCCAGCCGTGCCCAGAACACGTGAGGCGTGGCAACGTAGCGAGTGATGCCTTTGCCCCGCGGCCGCCCTGGAGTGACCCTCCGGCGGTCCGATCCGCCTTCTTCCCTCGGGGTCTGTTCCTCTCCCGCTCTCCCACCAGCGAACAGCAAAATCGCGTCAAGTTGCCTTAAAGTCCCTTCGTGAGTCCCCATCTTCCCTCCCCCTGTTTTGGTTTATCTTGGAACGGAGTCCTCTTAGTTTTGCTACTTTCCCCCCGCAATTTCTCTCGTAAAGGGTGTCTTGGCGAACTCCTGAGAGGTCAGCAGACAGACTGCGCTCCACAAGCACAGAAGGGAGGGAAGCCGGAGGCTGCAGCCCGGGCTGGGCCGAGAGCGAGGCCGGTGCCTTCCAGTAACCCCGCCGCTGTGCGCTGCAGTCTGACCGCCCGTCGGGGACGCGCGCCAAAGTTAGCCGAGCCAGCCACAAACACTATGCCTGGGCCAGGGGCCGGGGAGACGCTTCGAGTTACCAGTATTAGCCGGGCTGGTACCTGGCGCTCGCTGATGCAGTCTGCGGTGGCTGCCCTGCCATGACCCCTTGTTGCTGAGGGCCCTGCCACATTCGAGTTGACACGCTGCAAATTACCAGCTGTCAAATGGGGAATAGCGTGCACAGCGCTTTTTTTTTTTTTTTTTTTTTTTTTCTGGAACTTGGGCAGGGGTTTGTTTTTGCAGGTACAGACTCCGCCATCATCAGCCCTCAGCTTCAAAGCCAGAAATCAGAAGGGGAGGCACATCGTCTCTATCCTAGAGACTGGTGGACAAACTATGTCTAGCACCCACTTTTTTTAAAAAAACGCACTTATTATTGACTGAAATTAACACTGACCTAAAGAAAAGTTAGGCAATTGTAAGTCACAATAAATGTCCCACATCTGCAAAGTATGCTTAGACTGCTCAGAGACACCACGTGCAGATTTCTGCTTTTTTGTCCTAAAACATTAGGAAACTCTTCCATCAGACTCTCCTGTATTCACCTTGTGCCCCAAGCTGACCCCAACTCCTCTAAGGTATGTCAGTTTTATCCACCCTACCCTCTAACAAATAATACTCAAAGCACGAACCTTTCCAAGGTGATCTTATAGCCTCCTCCTTCATTTTTCGGTGGAACAGGATATGAAGGTTGGGGGTGACTTTTCAGAGGTTAGAGTTAGAGCCAGTGAGGGCTGGAGTAACCCCGAGGGTGAGTGGGGGGTGCCTGCGGAGGCTGGAAGCTCGCAGATGACAAGGAGCACCAGCGCGAGGCCACAGTCCTCTTGGTTAGGCGCCCCCACTTTATATAAGGCAATTTACATACAGGAAGGGAGCAAGCTACAAAGTTCAACACTGGGCCATTTATTCCACCCCCCCCCCGCAACATCATCCAAAAAATTACAGTCTTAAGCGTCCTAGGCTTATTACACCCCCAGTAAGACACACAAGAAATGTAACTTCGCTGATTGCCATCACAAATCAGTCCAGAAAAAATTCAAAACACATGCTCAGGATTCATTTTCTCAAAGGAGCGCTGCAGCGTGCATGCCAGGAAGGACTTGGAATTCAAGTTAGAGGGCTCTGACTGGAGCAGAGAGGCTCAACCGTATATTTGTGGTTGGGACAGAAAAGGAACTATCTAATATGCCCCTTCCTCCCCCGGCCGACCGTGCAGCTCCGGGAGACGGATGATCTGTTAAACTTATCATTTAATGCAGAGAATCAAGTTGTTGAGACTGGGTTTTTCCCCCCCTAACCGGATACCTGATGGGTGGAGCTGGCGCCCCCTGTTCTGTCCTAGCAACCTACTAAGACTTCCGAACAGGAAGGTGACACACGGCGGCATAGGGGGAAGGGGAGACGGAGGAACTGTGTGCGACGCTCCTGCTAGCGCTGCGCCGGCTTTAGGTTGCCTTGTGGCCGCTATTCAAACACTTGATCTGTGCTTCCTTCCTGTCGCCAGTCTCCTTCTTTGGTTTAGCTAGTTCGCCTACCGGGAGGGGTCCGTCCGCTTCCTTCTCCTCCTTGGTGGCCAGAGTTGCTGCGCCATGCAGAATAAACGTAACCTAGAGGGCGATCGCGTTCTCTCGGAGAACCACTCCGGAGCGCCAGAGTCTGCCCCTTCTCTCTCCAGGTTTAAGCAGTCCCTCAAATTTCCCTGCAAACCCGGGTGTCAGGCACAGAATATATAGACGGCTTGAGAGAAGATCAGCTAACTACACTTCTATTCCTCCAAGCCGGTCGTTCCCCACGTGTGACTCGCGGAGGGGTCCATGACTCACCCAGGTATAAACTTTGCGTCAAAACAAACATTTCCGAGGGCGTGTTTTTACTTTTGCTTCTTTCTGCAGCATTGCAAACTGAACCAAAGGCGCTCAACCTGAGCTACATCACGAGCCCGTTTTTAATTTTTTTTTAAATTTTGAAACTGGGCTGGGCTGATACTTGTGGATCCCTTGCCGCAGCCTCCTACAGAGCGCTGGGATTGCAAACCATGCCGCAGCGCAAGTGTACGTGTATTTTAATACTTGCAGAAACTGGCTTTTTGTTCCCTTTGTTTAATCTTAGTGATGGACTATCAACACTGAAACCTGAAAGCTTTACTGAATATTTTATCCAATACAATTTCTCAATATTTTAGAGGAAATAGAAAAAAAATTTTATAAGGACTTCCCTAGCCTCTTACTTTCTTCAGTGTGTCAGTTGGATCAGCCTTGAATAGCTAGATACAATATCTTTTACTAAGAACAGGACAATGAATTGCTTTCCATTTTTCAGAGTCAGAAATGATGCACTTGAGTTCATCCCTAGCATGCTTGCTGGCCACATGGGGGGCGGGGGCTGAGCCAGGATTGATTAAGACTGGGCAATGGTGGCATGTGCCTATAATCCCAGCGCTTGGGAGGCTGAAAACAGGGGGATCACTGTGAGTCTGATCTGTGTAGTGAGACCCTGTAGACCCTGTCCTAAATACATTTAAATAAATAAAAATGATGAACAGTCCTGTGCACAACTTAGTTTCCTATGTATTGATCCATTGGTATACACAGAAACCTTTCTCTGAAGCATCCTTAAAGAAAGTACACAGAAATATTAGTAAGCATGACTATTACTTTACAGAGCAATGGAATGGATCAGTTTTTGCTGGAGACTGTCACCAAGTCCCTGTTATTTTTGTTTTACAGTATACATCAAACAAAATGATGCCAAGCAAGTTTATTCATGATAACTATTATGAACAAGTAACTAGCAATTGGTGGGTATTTAAAATATCTATTTGTAGAACACAGGCTCTACAGTGATTATTACCTTCTATATTCATAATTGTTAGAATTGACATGCAAAAAGAAAAATGTGATATAGCGGGATAAGAGAAGAACAGATTGTCCAGAATAACAGTGTTAAGGGTTACTTTTTATTTATTTATTTTTTGGTACCAGAGATTGAACTCAGGACCTTTTGCTTGCCAGGCAGGCACTTAGGCCACTTAGCTATCTTCCTGGCCTGATAAGGGTTATTAAAACCCACAAAACCGTGTGCGTTATTTTTGTCTTTCTGAGATAGGGTCTCACTATGGCAGTTTAGGCTGGCCTTGAGCTCATTTTGTAGCCCAGGCTGATCCAATGATCCTCTTGCCTCAGCCTCTTGAGTTCTGGGATTATGAGCGGGCATGCACCACCATTCCTAGCCTCACCCTTACTTATTTACTAAATTTCAACAGTAAATCCAAAATCCTGGCAGATGCCTTTTGTCAAACTAAGGTAAAAGTGGAAAGCTTTCATTTGCTCAGTGTAAGCCTCTCTCCAAGACTTTTCCATTTCTGATCCTAATCAAACTAGGAAGAAGTACTAGAAGGTCGGGCCGCCTTTAAAATCATTTTCCTATCAACTCTGCTAAAAATCACAGCCTCAAAAGAAGACAAATGTGATAGTAACCAGTAGTGGGACAACCAGCAGCAGCATGAATGACTGGCTTCATTTTAATATACATCAGCTGAATGAGCTTCCTTTGACCGTAATGCTGAATGTGAACTACAGAGCAGCTTCCCCTAGTGCCAGGGACTGCAGGGCCTCACAAAGGCTAGACAAGTACTCTAACACTGAGCTCCACCCCCAGCCTTTATTTCCTTCCTTCC